TGTGGAAGAGAAAGTATTCAATAGACGGGTCTTGCAGGAGCCCGGGGGGCGGGTGGAGGATTGAAACCCTTCTGGGAGAAAGTCTGGGTCAATTCAACCTAAAGGAAGAATGTTCCACCAGCCCAAGGCATCAACACTGGGATAGACTGCCCTGGGCTGCAGAAAATTCCTTGGTGGTGGAGCTGAAGGCTGGATGATTTTAGGATGTTGTTGGAGGATACACGCAGCCCTGAAGTCCCACGATTCTGTAATTCCTCCATTTTTGGGATTTGGGATACAATCTCTGTACATGCTCATGTCACCAATCCCAACTTGTCGCCTATCTAAGGCTGTATTTTACGCTGTTTACAATTTTTCCAACTAATTGTGAAGGTTACAGCTCTAGGGTTCTCTCCTAGAGTCCCCCTTGCTTCTTCCCAGACTAGCTGAGCCCTCCCAAGGACAAATCACTCTAGGAAACTCTGCCACGCGCTTCTCCCCATCATCTGTGGTTCTAAACTTCTTCCATTTGGCCCTCAAGCCGGATTTGGGCTGGAGCCAACTATCTCCCCGAGCTGCGTACCTCCTTCTGGCGGGTTAAGCGATTCTCCAGCTCTTGGACTTTGCTCTGTTCTTCTTCTAATGCTTCCTTTGCTCTGCTTTTCTCCTGAGAAATGGTTTCCTCCAAAGCCTGAAAGTCATGATTGTTGTTTAATAGACATGGTTACCATAGTAGGGATCTGGACTCTGTGCCAGGCACTGCACGGAGTCACTCACTTCTCACAACAAGAAAACTCTTTCACTTCTCACTGCCACAGAAAACGGTGGGCAGTATACTTAGGGGCTAAGAGTCCGGGGTCTGGAGTCGGCAGGCCCACATTAGAGCCTCCGGTTGATCCTTCCTAGATGTATAGTCTTGGGCAAGTGAGAAGTTTTAGAAGCCTCAGTTTCCCTGTCTGTACAATGGGGACAGTAATAGTGCTTCCTGCATTGGGTTGATGTGAGGAGCAGATGAGATGACGAACATGAAATACTTGTCACATGATAACTATTCACTAGTAAAGATTAATCATTTCTTCTGTCATTTCAACTTTGCAAAGGAGGAAACAGGCTTAGAGAGATTAAGGAATCTGTTCAGTTTACTAGTAAATCACGTCAACAGGAGTTTGAACCCTGGTCCCTTTGACCCTAGAGACAGGAGTTGGCAAGCTATGGCATCTGGGCCAAATCTGGCCTGCTGCCTGCTTCTTTGTAAATAAAGTTTTATTGGCATCCCTCCATGCTCATCGTGGGTTGCCTACAACTGCCCCTGCACTGCAACAACAGAGCTGAGAAGCCACAACAGAGACCATACGACCCGCAAAACTGAAAATAGATACTATCTGGCTCTTCGTGGAAAAAGTTTGCTGCTCCCTGATTTAAACCATTAGTGTGTGCACAAATCAGAGGACTGCTGCTAACAGATCATAAGAAGAAGAAGAATAATAATAAAATAATAAATAATAAAAAAATAAATAAATAAAAAATAATAAAAAAAAGAATGTTGGCTCCATAAGGGAACCTAGAATTTCTTACCCTTGAAACAGAGTCCTCAGACAAGTTAGGACTCGTGAGGAGTTTAATTAATGAATTCGGACAAGCATATTTTTAGAAAGGGTGGGGGTGATGGTGTCATGTGGTATGCGGGAGGTTCACTTAAAATCGGGGCACCTGGCACTGGAGTCTGGAACAGTACTTTCAGATGAGTCCCTGGGGTCGAGCTGATCAATGTGCATGTCTGGGGAAGGATGACCCTCGACGGGACGACAGTGGACATGAGCAGCGGCGCTCTGTCTTGGTGGGTCCCTGGCATTGCGTCCCCCTCTGCATGGCCTGGTGTGCGTGCTAAGCTTTGTTGTGATTAAAGGGGGGTCGATGTCAGCCCTTGAAACCCTGTATCTGTTGGAATCGATGTTACAAATGGGCGTCTGGGAGGCCCAGGCCGGAGCCCAAGGTGATGTTGAACATGCTGGGGCTGCAATACTGTACATCCACAGTGGGAACAAGTCAAACCAAAGTTAAAACTAAAATAAGACATTTGGCAAAGGGAGAAGTTAACCAGAGAGGAGGGAGGGAACAGGTGGAGAGCCTGGTGGAGATTTTCAAGATTGCTAGGTTCTTTCTGGTTCTATTTCCCTCTCTGCGGAATGGCACTGGCTTTTTCTATATCTGATTGTCCTTCTGGAGGGAGCTGCCTTGATTTAAGGCTGTTGTGAATGGTACCTTATGTGGCTCACAGGTGACTTTGGTCAGGTGGTTCTTCCTTTTTAATCTTTTATTTCACAAAAGGCAGAAAGGCAGAGAAAGAGGCAGACAGGAGAAGAGGTAGCGGGGCGTGAACTAGAGGATGAAAGGGAGCAGGCAGAGGTCTTTGCCTCTTGGAGACATCTGGAGAGTGAGGGTGTGTGACAGAAGGATGGTCCAAGCAGGAAGTCACCAAGCTTCTCCCGGTGAAGGTGGAGGAAACGGCAGGTCCAGTCCTTCTCAGGGGAAGAAAGGAGGTGCTGGGGGGGAGTTGGGGTCCAGCGGATCTGGTGCTGCTATCTTGAGGGGGGTGGAGGAGGGGCAGCATGCTGTGGCCCTCCACCGTGGCTGCACATTGGAACCACCAGGGAGAGCTTATCAATTCCAGTGCCTGAGCCACACCCTCACCCCAGTTAGGTCAGAACCTGGGGGTGGGGTGGGGGGAGGGGTACAAGGCATTAGTATTTTTTAATCTCTTAGGTGACAAAAGTGCAGCCAAAGTCATGAGCCACTGATCTAGGATGATGGCGACCGAGGTAGTTAAATTCATGGTGGGTCCCTGAATATCAGAAAGGGCCAACGCAAGGACAAGGATGAGAATCAGCCCATTATGTGCAGTTTCCTGGCTTTCTCCTGAGATTCTGATTCAGTGGGTCTGGGGTGGGGCCCAAGAAGCTATATTTTTCACCAGCGTCCAGGTGGTTCTTATCGGCCAACTTGGGGAAAACCTTCTTCTAAGACTTTGTGGCTGAAAATGTAGTCTGCAGAGCTGTGCCATCAGTACCAGCTGGGAGCTGGTCAGAAATGCTCCCCCCAAGACTCCCAGCCTGGGGAGCCCCCCAGGCTCCCCCCCGCCCCCAAGACCTGCTGAATCAGAATCTGCATTTTAACAACATCCCCATGTGATCCGTGGACACCTTTGAGTTGAGAGGCGCTGCTGTAAAGTATCCTCTAATTGGCTGGTTTCTGGAAAAGTAAGTAGCAGTTTTGGCCATGTGTTTCTTTTCTTTTCTTTTTTTTTTTTGCGGTATGCGGGCCTCTCATTGCCGTGGCCTCTCCTGTTGCGGAGCACAGGCTCCGGATGCGCAGGCTCAGTGGCCATGGCTCACGGGCCCAGCTGCTCCGCGGCATGTGGGATCTTCCCGAACCGGGGCACGAACCCGTGTCCCCTGCATCGGCAGGCGGACTCTCAACCACTGCGCCACCAGGGAAGCCCCATGTGTTTCCCCTGATATGCATGAAGAGAAAGCAGAAGACTGAAATACTATTGGTTGGTCTTGCACACACTTAGACACAAACCGGGACCTGCAGTAACGACTGGGATTTGTATCAATAAAATCAGCTGCAGTATATAAACAAAGTACCATTTCTAGACATTTCAATAACCTTGCCTCTTCAAGTTGATCTTCAAGTTGATCTCTGAGTTTTAGGACTCAAGCTTCATGTTAATTCCTCCTACATCATTCACCCTCTTTAATTAATTTAGTTCCCAACAAGGAGTTGCTGAGATTTCTCCATCTAAGTACGCGCCCTCTGTTTCTCATAGGAAAGCCCATTTCATTAGTTTCCAGTAGTAAAGAGAAGGACGGGGGCCACCTTACCGATTTCTCTTCCGTTAGCCGCTTGACTCTGGCTTTCAGCTTCTCCTCTTGCTGTAGCCTTTCCTCGATCAGCTTCTCCTTCTCTTCCAGATGCTGCCGTAACTTTTCTTGCAGCAAATACTGCTGAGTTTCCTGAGAACTGTTGATCTTGATCTGAAATGAGGTGAAGGGAAACTGCAGCTGATGGGGGACAGGACTAACGCAGGAGTCATTTCCACTCCCTTTGGGGGCGGGACAAAGGTTCACGAAACTTTCTTCAAAACACAGAAAAATGATGCTTAGCTTAGTAACTAATAGGGAAGTAGTACAGCATCGTGGTTAAGAGCTCAGACTCTAGATCTAGATAGAATCTCAGCTCTAGTTCTTTCTAGACACTTCTTTGTATAGAGAACGAGGTTAATACTAGTATCTACCTCTTAGAGTTGTAAGAATGAGATAATGATGGAAAGCTTTTAGCAGTGTTTAGCACATAGTAGGTGCTCAGTAAATGGTAGTTAGACTTATTTGTTATTATTTGCTGAGTGTAAGAGAAAAAGCAGTGAGCTAGGGCCAGAAGGCCTGAGCTTTTGTCTTGATTCTTCCACCAACTATCTGTGTGACGTTGAAACAGTCACCTAGCCTCTGAATGTCACTGTCCATCTCTGTAAAATAAGGAGAATGGACTAGATCAGGGGGTGGCAAACTACTGTCTGCAGGCCACATATGGACCACTGCCCATTTTTATAAATAAAATTTTATTGGAGCAGAGCATGCCCGTCACGCCCATTCATTTACTTCTGTCTATGGCTGCCTTTGCTCTACAACGGCTGGTCAGATAAGTGTGGCAGAGGCTGTATGTCCTGCAAAGTCTAAAATATTTACCATCTGGCCCTTTACAGAAGAAGTTTGCTGACCCCTGGACCAGATGGTCTTTGGGGTTGATCGTAATGCTGGTCCCAATATTTCACCCTTCCTCTATTCATATCTTTGGCTCTGTAACTTGCAGTGCCCACCCATATGCTGCCCCCTGACACTGAACTCAGTCATGTGACTTGCTCTGGCCAATGGGATGTTGGCAGACATAACACAAGCAGAGGATTGAAAAGCACTCCGTGATTGGGCCTGCTTTCTCTTCCCGATGTCTGCTTCCTCTGCTAGCACCATGAGAACGTGCCCAGGCCAGCCTGCTGGAGGATCAGAGACACGTGGGACACGTGGAACAGAGTACAGCTGCTCCAGCGGAGGCCAGCCTATATCGACCAAGGCCCAGCCAACACCCAGACATGTAAGCAAGTCCATCCAAGACCAGCAGACCCACCTAGCGCTGGCCCCAGATGTGTGATCAGTAGACAATAACTGTGGAACACTGCTAAAAGTGTTATGGTTGTTTATTATACAGTATTAATACGGCAATAGCTACCAGAGAGATACAATCCCTAAGGATAATTTTGCCTCTACAATGTCGACATTATGTAACTTTTCGTAATTCTGCTGCCTATACTGTGGCTAGCTGTACTTCTTCCACAGCATTTAATAAACAATTGTAAAGATCTGATGGCATTTAAATTTTTCTGGTTTTTGACAGAGGAAGACAAGCCTCCTTGCCCTCCTGGGAGATCTCAGCCACCCTGTCTGAAGCATTTCGTGTGCAAATGGAGGTATCATTTCACCTTTTGGAGGATGTGTGCTGACTACCTAACAGAGGAGAAACAGTTAAAATGCTCAGGGCTGGGTAAATTCTAAGGAGGAGCTGAAATGAACTTCTGAAGTTCAAAGATTACCTGAAGTTCCTGGGTCCAGCTTGTAATTTTTTTATAATGTTCCAGAAGGTATTTCAGATACAAAGACAATCCTTAAAGAGAGAAGGAAGAAGAAGGTAAGTATCAATTCAATTCACTTCCTTTGCTTTCTGAATAATGTCTTCACAGAGCTTGCCGACAGGTGGGTGAGGGCAACGCTGCCCTCCCATCAAGGAAACGTGAATTGCCATCCACCTTGTGGTTTTTTTTTTTTTTTTTTTTTGCGGTACGCGGGCCTCTCACTGTTGTGGCCTCTCCCGTTGCGGAGCACAGGCTCCGGACGCGCAGGCTCAGCGACCATGGCTCATGGGCCCAGCCGCTCCGCGGCTTGTGGGATCTTCCCGGACCGGGGCACGAACCCATGTCCCCTGCATCGGCAGGCGGACTCTCAACCACTGCGCCACCAGGGAAGCCCCACCTTGTGTTTTTTAAATTGTTGATCAGCTTCGGTTGGGCTCAAGTCCAAGTTTCTTTTTGTGGGAGGACAATAAAAACCATCTGCAGAGCTCCTACCGACTAAGTGTCTACCGTGTGCAGCACTGTGAGCTGAGCAGGGGATGGTATGAAGCCATTCAGTGTGAGAGACAAGGTCTACGTGCCTGGGAGGAAACAGGCAGGGACTCCAGGTGGCGTGGAAGTGATGGCTGAAGGAGTGGGGAAGTGTGAGGGTCCCAGAGGAGGGGCCATCATTCACCTGGAGTGATCACTGGTGGCTGAGGACCCACTGGGCGTGGGCATTGGTGGGTATGCAGAGTTGGAGGGGATGGCGTTTCAGAATGGAAGATGTGGTTGGGTGAATGATGCCTCCCCCCCCAAAGATGTCTGGGTCCTAATCCTTAGAGCCTGTGAACATTACCTAACAGGGCGGAAGGACCTTTGCAGATGTGGTGAAGTTAAGGATCTTGAGATGGGGGCGCTTATCCTGGATCAGCTGGGTGGACCCGATATAGTCGCATGGGTTCTTACAAGAAGCAGACACAGGGAGTCTGACTACAGACAGACAGAGCCGGTGATGTGACAGAAGCAGAGAGTTGAAGATGCTCCTCTGCCATGAGCCAAGGAAAGCGGGGAATTTTTATTTCCTCGCCTTTTCCAGTCTAGAGACTGGAAAAGGTGAGGAAACGGATTCTTTCCTAGAGCCTCCAGAAGGAACCAGCCCCTTGCCTTTACGTTAGCAAAACTGATTTTGGACCTTTGGCCTCCAGAACTGTAAAAGAATAAATATGAGTTGTGTTAAGCCCCTAAGTTTGTGGTAATTTGTTAGAACAGCCATAGGAAACTAATACGGGGGGTGAAGGCAGGAGGCAGGATGAGAGGTGGGGAAATGCAGTGCATGTTCTGGAAGAGGGTGGAGCTTAACTGGGGTAGAGCAGATGATGGGGGAGGGGAGGCGTAGAGGGAAGAGCTGGGATGGAAAGCTGAGTTCCATTTGTGGCCAGCCTAGAACAGTAGCCTAAAGAGTATAAACTTGATTTAAACATCACTGAAACGTCATGAGTGTGACCTGTGTGCCCGGCCCTCTGCCAAGCCATCAGCGCATCACCCCACTGTATTGTCCCGCCGTCGCCTCCTTTTACACATGAGGCAGTCGGGCTCTGAGACATGTGGCTGCTGGACGCCACACAGCTGGCAAATGGCTGAGCCAGGGCTTGGGCTCACAGTGGTGTGACTCCAGGGTCTGAGTCACTGCTATTTCAGCTTCTGATGGAGCAGTGAGTTGGCTTAATGAAGGGTGTTTTTTTTTTTTTTCCAGAAAAATAACCGGGATGTAATAGAGACAAAGGAGCCAGCAGCATTTCTTAACTGCAGCATTCTCGACGTGTTGGGCTGGACAGTCCTCGTTGTGGGAGCCGTCCTGGGCACTGTAGGACGTTTAGTAGCATCCCTAGCCTCTGCCTACTGGCTGCCAGGAGCATCACCCACCCAAGCTGTAATTATCAAAGATGAGAGGGTTTCAAGAAAGCAAACCGAGAGGGTTGGGTAGGCCAGAGAGAACATGGTGGGCGGAGGAAGGTGGGGCTTCAGTGCAGGGGGGCCACGTCAGTTTTCAAAGAGGCAAAGTAGGAAGTTGGTGGTGAGCACACAGGGTGTAACGCACTTCAAGGTCTTAATGGGACAGGAGTACGAGCGGTAGAAAAGGAGCTGAAGAAGCAGTGGTCCCAGTGAAGATGCACCAGCTTGAAGCGCATGTTTGATGACAAAGGAGAAGATGGAGTGAGAGGCTGTGTACGCTGAAGGAGGAGGTCATGATTCAGGAGCTTGTGCACAAGGTGGTCTGGGAGGGAGAGAGAAGGGGAGACTCAGGGAGGGAAGAGCTGCATTTGGAAAGAGAACGTAGTGAGGGAAGATAGAGGGAAAGGAGAAAAGATGGGTGCGGAGAGAGACAGGAGGGGAGCTGAACAGGCTCGTGCCTGGGCCCCTGACCTCTGACAATGCCACTTGCTGAGAATTTCCAGCTTGGAAGAGTGAGAAGAAGAAGATTATAATAATAGCGATTCAGTATTAACCACTTGCTGTGTGCCAGGCACCATGCAAGGAGTTTAACACGTGATATTTTCTGATCATTGCAAACAGCCCAGCAAGGCAATGTGTTTGCATTTATAGGTGAGACACAGACTCTCAGCAAGGTTAAGCTATGGAGCTGGTAAGCAGTAGGATCAGAATTCAGACCTAGGTCTGTCATTCTCTTTTCAGAGAGACTAGAGGCTGGAGAGTGAAGGGCTGGGCTGGCTGATGTGAAGGGTGCGTGAGGAGAGGGGCACTCGGAGGACCCCGAGATGGCAGAGATGGGTGATGCTGACTTGGGCTGTTGGAAAGAGGGATTTTCTTCTTTGGGAGAAGAAGCAATTCTTGATTATAGTTCTGGTTACAAAAGTTACACATGCCTGTTAACACAAATCCAAACAGGGCAGAAACCCATAAAGTGGAAAGTGTCCCCCCGCTGTATCCTCAGTGGCCGGCACACAGTAGGCCTGCAATAAATAGTTGTTGAATGACTGAGTGAAAGTCAAGGCTCACGCAGTCTCATCATGCTGGGATAATACTCTCAACACTTATATGTCTTTTCCACCAGATTTCTCCTGTGGTCAGATAGTGGCATTTGAAAAAAAAAAAAGGGGGGGAGAACACTGTTCATATTGTATTACAACTTGCTTTTTTTCACATAAAAATACTGCATATCTTGGATATCTGAGAAAGAGCGATTTTCTATGCATGCAGGGAAGCCTTTTATTTGCAACAAAATCTTGCAGAAATAGACACAGTCAACTGAGCTTGCAAAGAAAAATGTAAGAAGTCCTTTCTTTCCCTTATCAAAAGAAGCTGAGAAACCAGGCAGGAGGAGAGGGGAGCTAACTTTTAAGGTCCTCCTTAGATGTTTCCTATCTTCCAGTGGGACCACACAGTAATCCTTCAGCAATCAGATTTTTTTTTTTTTTTAGGTCACAGCTTTTTAATTTTTTAATTGAGATATAGTCGATGTAAAATATTGTATGTTTCAGGTGTACAACATAGTGATTCACAATTTTTAAAGGTTATATTCCATTTATAGTTATTATAAAATATTGGCTATATTCCCTGTGCTATAAAATATATCGTTGTAGCTTACTTATTTTATACATAGTAGTTTGTACCTCTTTTTTAAAATTGGAGTATAGTTGCTTTACGATGTTGTGTTAGTTTCTACTGTACAGCAAAGTGAATCAGCTGTATGTATTCATATATCCCCTCTTTTTTGAATTTCCTCCCATTCAGGTCACAAAAATATGGAACGCTTCATGAATTTCCGTGTCATCGTTGCACAGGGGCCATGCTCTTCTTCTCTGTATGGTTCCAATTTTAGTGTATGTGCTACTGAAGTGAGCACAGTAGTTTGCTCCTCTTATTTCCCTACCTCTGACTTGTCCCTCCCCCTTTCCCGCTCCCCACTGGTAACCACTAGTTTGTTCTCTATATCTGTGAGTCTATTTCGTTTTTGTTATATTCACTAGTTGTATTTTTGAGATTCCACATAAAAGTGATATCATACAGTATTTGTCTTTCTCTGTCTGACTTTTCTCACTAAGCATAGTACCCTCCAAGTCCATCCATGTTGCTGCAAATGGCAACATTTCATTCTTTTTTATGGCTGAGTAGTATTCCACTGCATAGAGATATACATAGATATATCTATATCACATCTATATTTTGGGGGGGGGCATGCCATGCAGCTTGTGGGATCTTAGTTCCTCAACCAGGGACTGAACCTGGGCCATAGCAGTGAAAGCGTCGACTCCTATCCACTGGACCGCCAGGGAATTCCCTACTGCATCTTCTTTATCCACTCATCTGTTGATGGGCACTTAGGTTGCTTTCATATCTTGGCTATCATAAATAACGCTGCTATGAACATTGGGGTGCATGTATCTTTTTGAATTAGTGTTTTTCATTTTGGGGGAATAAATACCCAGGAGTGGAATTGCTGGATCATATGGTAGTTCAATTTTTAGTGTTTTGAGAAACCTTCAAACTGTTTTCCATAGTGGCCACACCAATTTACATTCCCACCAACAGTGCACAAGGGTTCCCTTTTCTCCATATCCTCGCCAACACTTGTTATTTGTGTTCTTTTCAGTGACGGCCATTCTGACAGGTGTTAGGTGATATCTTAACCAATCAGATCTTTAGTAGTGACCCCAATCTCCTGGGCTGCTCATGACATGATCCAGCAATACTTACGCAACCTGGATTTCCCTGAGGGATTTATTCCAGGATTTTACAGACCCAGCTCGTTACATGCGTTTTATCCCTTAGGACAGTATTTTAAAAGGCAGGTAGTATGGTGGTTCAGAGAAGGGGCTTTGTGGTCAGAGGGACCTGGACGGAGTCCCAGCTTTACCACTCGGCAGCTAGGAAATGCAGCCCGTTGTCAAGAGCCGAGGAAGAAGGCCTGGAAAGAGAACTGAGTGCTCACGGCTAAGAAAATCTGACTTGCTGTCAAATAGAGATGCGGCAGGGGTCACAGGTAAAGGCACCTCGGCGTGAGCCAATCAAGCTGCCCTGCCTGTGCGCATATCCATCTGCCTGCCGTCCACATTCAGTTCACATTAAATCAACAAGTATTCAAGGCTGATGCTCACGGCAGCTGCCGTTTACTAAGGCTTACGTGTGACCCCATGATTTGGGTACCACATCGTTTAATCCTCACAACTACCTGGTGAGACCTTAACCCCATTTTATAGCCAAGTAAGCAGAGGCACACAGAAGTCGACACTTGCTCACACGATGAGTAAGCGCACACTTGAGAGTCAAACCTTAGCAGCCGGTCTCCAAAGCCTGAACTCAGAATTATTCGCTATAATGCAGATGGGGTTTTGCTGGGGCAAGGCCCGTGGTGTGCCTCAGACGCCCTTCACTCCAGGGAGTGAAACTCTCAGGTGTGTCTCTGTTCAAGTTAATGACAGAACCTGTCCTCTAGGAATTGGGCGTGTACCTGGTACCCCTCTGGATCTTCGGAGCGCATGTGGGGTCACAGAAAAAACACAAGTGCTAGGATCACAACGACCTCAGTTTGAGTCCTGACCCTACCATGTACCAGCTGTGCGACTTTGAGCACGTTTCTTAATGTTATGGATACTCAGTTTCCTTACTTGCAAAATAAAGACAACAATAGTACCTGGCTCATTGGGCTCTTGGAAGATGAAAGTACACAGTACATGTAAAACAACTAGCACGGTGACAAGTGCCCAGGAGGAGTTAAACAAACCATGGTTCCTACCCTCCTCTTAGGAACTGTGAACACGGAAGGCTCTTAGGACTGTTTGTGTGTGGTGATGCGTGACTGGGGATCCCCTGCTGGACTCAGTAATGGGAAGTACCTTGAATCACTTATCATGGTGGACTAACACATAAAAAGGTTTTGAGCCAGTTTCTTCATTTCTAAAATGAGGATAATGTTACCTGCCTTATAGAGTTGTTGTGATGATGAACCGAGGTTATGTATGGAAAATACTTAGAACATTGTCTAGAATATAAGTGCTCAATAATGAATGATGGCCACCGTTGTCACCATCACCATCTAATCATTATTCTCACCACCATGACCATCGCCATCCTCATCACCACCATCCTCATCACCTTAATTATCCTCACCATCCTCACCATCATCCTCACCACCACCATCCTTGTGTAGATGCCTCTAGGAACTAGGTACAGCGGTACCTAATACAGAGAATACAGGGGATACTCTAGTTCATCCCATTCTTTTAGGCTTTTGGGGCTTTGCCATAATATTGCTAGTTCTGGAAGATAAAATGCCTTTTACCACCAACTTCCTCTCCTAATGAATGAATAAAGAATGGGCCGTCCTCACTAACTTCCCACGTGCTCCGCGGCATGTGGGATCTTCCCGGACCGGGGCACAAACCCGCGTCCCCTGCATCGGCAGGCGGACTCAACCACTGCGCCACCAGGGAAGCCCCTGATGGCTTAATTTTGCAACCCATGTTTCTTTATGGTAACGTATGACTAGATTTAGAGACAGAGGCTTCAGTGACTCCTGAAGTCTGGGGAGGGGACAGTGCACACATTGCTTGGCCCCGCTATTACTAGGATAGAGATCATGGTCTTTCCTTGTTTTAGTTCTGATTTTGAAGAACAGCTAGAACTGTGGGCCACGTCTCTCCTGGTTTCATGCACACTCAGACTCTGCCGTGATTACAACAACAGTAATACTGGGGTTGGGGAGGGGCTGGGTTGCTGGGAGAAATCCAGCCCCCCTCTTCTCTATGCTATCTGTGAGGGGCAGGCACTTACAGAAAAGTTAATCTTGATTTTTGCCTTTCTTTTTAAAGACGTTTAAAAGAAATTCACACCACCTTCTGGATTACCTTAGAGATATCCTGGCTGGGGCTGTTTAATCACCTGAGTTGAAAATCACTCCTCTATTCATTATTGTAAGAATGTCAAATTTGTGCAGCCTCTCTGGAGAGCGATTTGGCAAGAAGGATCAATAATAAATGTTGGAGTTTCCCAGGTGTGGCCCTGGGCTCTCCCTTCTCATTCAACACTTTCTTCCTAGTGATACCATTCACACGTATGGCTTTAGTCATCCTCCATCCATCCACCCGTCCATCCATCCCATCTGACTAAGCACCCGCTATGTGGCACATGTTCTTCTGGGTTCCGGGGCCATATCACTGATATGGTTGGACATCCAGGGTGACAGCTGCATCCTTGGCACCTCACTTTGGATGTCTACAGGCACCTCACACTCATCTTCCCCCTCCAACCTGGTCCTCCTGCGGCATTCCTTACTCTGGATTTTAGTGAAGGAACCACATCTGTACTTTTAACACAAGCCAGAAACCTGGAGATCTGTAACCCCCTTTCTCTCCATCACTTCCCTTCTAGCCACATCTAACTCCATCACTGAGGCCTGTTGATTCATCTCTTAAGTGCCCCTGGAATCTCTCTTGCTCCATCCCCTCCATTGCCACAGTGAGGGCCACCATCGTGTCTTGTGACAGCCTCCTAACTGCTCTCCCGGGGTTCTGTGCTGGCCACCTTCCTGTACATTTTCCACTCGTGGCCAAGATGACTGTCTCCAAATGCAAGCCTGTTCCATCAGTTCCTTACTTAAAACCTTTCATGGGCTTCTCTCTGCTCTCAGGTTAAAGCAGAGCTTCTTACCAGGGCTCTGCAAGCCCCCGGCCCCACCATGAGAATGCCCTCCCCTCCCCTCTTTGGCAAATAACTCCTATGCGTCCTGCAGGTGCCCTGCCGTCCCTGACCAGGTCAGAGCCCTGCACTTCTCCTTCAAAGCAACTGTCACGATTAAAGTTTTACATGTGAGTGATTTTTCACTTAATGCCCCACCCTATTCCTCCCTGAGACCATAAGATCTACAAGCTCAGGGATAGTGCCTGTTAGCTCCCCAATATTTTATTATGAAAGATTTCAAATGTACAGCGAAGAGGGAGGAATTTTACAGCCAACATCCATATACCCCATGACCTGGATTCTACCTGTTTCTGACCCCATTATATCTCCATCCTGCACTGTGCCTGGTATCTAGGAGGCCTGCGATAAATCTTTGTTGAATGGAAGTGGTTCATATCCTTCCACATCTAGGATGATAAAGATAAGATGAACAGGTATGTGTGAATAATATTTATGTCAGCCTCATCTATTAAGCGTGAAAAACTGGAAACATCTTAAATGCCCATGATAGAGGACTGGCTAAATAAATTATAGTACATCCTACAGAATGGGATTCCTTGCCATCAGTGACAGCGATGATGTAGGTCTGTGTGTATTGACATGGAAGGGTGTTCCTGATGTACTGTTAGGAACGAAACTAAAGGAAATTGGGTATAATATGACATTATTCTTTTGTAAAGTTAAAAAATCCATACATGTATATAGGTAGTGCCTATTTTATGCCAGGTACTATTCTAAGCACTTTACAGATATCAATGCATTTTAATCCTCACAACAATCCTAAGGGGTGAGTATTCCCTATTATCCCCATTTTACAGGTAAAGAAACAGGCAAAGAGAGGGGAAGTAACTTGCCTAGAATCACACAGCTCTTTCCATGGGAAAATGCCTGGAAGTTACACACAAAATATGATAGTAGTGACAATACCAAACGCTAACGTGGATGTGAAGCAACAGGAACTCTTATTCATTGTTGGTGGGAACGCAAAACAGCCACTTTGGAAAAGAGTTTTGTGGTTTTCTTAAAAACTAAACGTACTCTAGGGACTTCCCTGGTGGCGTAGTGGTTAAGAATCCAATGCAAGGGACACGGGTTCAAGCCCTGGTCTGGGAAGATCCCACATGCCGCGAAGCAACTAAGCCCGTGCGCCACAACTACTGAGCCTGT